GGAGCCACCCTTATGAATTTAGCACTCACGCAGGCATAGATTGGTGGAAACAGCAATGCCATGGTAGCTTTTGGGTGCTGCTATCCTACAATTTTCGGTTCTGTAGGATGGAAGAATATCTTTTTCTATTTCACGAACTTTCAGACTTGACAAAATAATTTGAGCGTGGTGATCACTTTGTCAAATCGAGTTTCAACTGAGCATCGAAATTCCTTCAGTAATTCTAAGCTTGTTATTTCAGGTTTAATGACTGCATTTCAATAAAAATAACTTCAAAAGTTATAGCTGCCACTGTTTACCTAACATCAAATATGCTGAAATGTATTCCTTGTTTGTATTTTGCACATTAAAAAAATTTATACATGTTCCAGACTTGTGGTGTATATAGAGCAGAAACCAGTCAGTGTGAAGTCCTTCGTCTAGGAATTTCTAAGCTTCCCTCGTTAAGTGATGCTTTCTTCCGACTAGAGTGATTCAATTGAAGGTGTACACACACCCCTCTTTCTTTTTTATGGAATACCTCTTTACTCCTGACTTGTCCTGCTTGCGATGGCGGCCTCCCATTGTGCTTCAGCCCTACTTTCCTAATTGCCCTCACCTCCTGCTTTAGTAAAACCATGTCCTGCATGTTACAGGAAAAGTAGACGACGCAAACCACCAGGAAAGAATAACCTAAAGGAAAGAGCGTAAACTCGCAACTAACTTTATTCCTGCAAAAAGTCACAGCTTTGCTGCAAAGGCGAAGCAATTAACAAAGGCGAAGCAATGAACGCGATAGCAACAAATTGGAAGGTCATGCGCAAAATTGCAGGCAAATCGAAACGTGCCCGGTGTTTCTCGCGTACAAATGACGCACGAAACGTACTCACAGGTACAGATGAACGCGAATAAGGGTCTCAGTTGTTACTTTGCTGTGTCGGAAAAGTGCGCCCTTTTCGCAAACAAAGACTGTGCAATGAGTGCAGTAACCTTTGTGCGCCCGGTAACTACAACAGAATCGTTCTGGTGAAAGTCCAAGGCACACGACTGTCCCCAGCACTAGGTAAGCGAGCACAGGCATGAGCATCCACCCTGCCCCCTCTCCATGTGGCTGATGAGAGAGCGCACCGCTGCGTGGTGATGATCTGGCATCGCACGCTCATTGCGCCATCTCGCTGGTAATGCTGCAAACACGATAGTTTCCCCGAGATGCCCTTGAACAGCGGTAAGTAGTAGATATATATAGCTTTTCATTTAAAGGGTGAGAGAGGTGCTTCTTCGTGGCTCGGTGGCTAACGCCTCACACTCATAATTCAGAAGCCTAAGGTTTGATTCCGTGCATGGTAGTTTTTTTCTGGATCATTTTTCTTTCTTGCGTTTTCATTTATATAGATACGTAATAACATACGGTGAATGACAGCGACGCCAACGCACAGGTCGGCGTTTTTTTGTTTGCAGTCGAGAGTGTCCATATAATTGTTATCACAATAAATTGAGTGCAATATATCCACCATCATGCCACACATGTGCAATAACACACCATACGTCGCATTGCACAACCGGACACTCGGTGCACGTGCTATTTCGAAAACCTATGAAAAAATTTAAACCCAGCTAAACGCAGTTTCACCAACATACCGCTACTAGAGATATGTTTTTTTTTTCCTGGTTAGGCATGTTTCTAGAGTCTCTTGCCCAATCACCTCCTTGCTTCTACATGGTGTGGTGATATTGGAAAATCTTGCCTCACATCCACCGGTGCTGCAGTGCATAGCTAAATGCGCCGAAATATTATTCTTGATAGAAAGATCATGCTCCCTTGCTTGATAGTTTACACATCGGCCGGTCATACTGATGTAAACCCTTGCACAGGAGAGCGGAATTTTATAGACCACTCCCACCGCACAGGTGATGTGGGGCCTTGCATGCCATTTACTCAACACAGGGGCAGGCATGGGTCCCCTTGAAATCTGTGAGCACAGGTTCAACAGTTTCCTTGGTGCAGAAAACACCATAGGTACTTTGTGCTTATTGGCCCCCTTTTTAAGATTGTATGTGGAATGACTACTGGTCTCTTTTCGAAGTGCTCACATTCTTTCTTTTTCCCTTTAGTCTTTTGAAGCAGGCATTCTGCTGCTCCCGCAAGTAATGAGCGAGGATACCCAGCTGAATATAGCCAGCGTACCTGGTTGTTAAAACTTTCCTGCAATCAGTCAGGGCAAGACATGGCAACACACCTTCCAAGCATATACTTGAGTACTTTAGTTTGGGCAGCGTCATAAAGCATCACCTCTTTGCGCCAACAAAACGAGGAGGTCCAAAAGATGCGCTTCTCTGCCAGAGTGAGACTCAAATATATAAACTGGCTGAATATAGCCAGCGTACCTGGTTGTTAAAACTTTCCTGCAATCAGTCAGGGTAAGACATGGCAACACACCTTCCAAGCATATACTTGAGTACTTTAGATTGGGCAGCGTCATAAAGCATCACCTCTTTGCGCCAACAAAACGAGGAGGTCCAAAAGATGCGCTTCTCTGCCAGAGTGATACTCAAATATATAAACTGAATTTTTTCGTTAGTAGGTAGCTCATGCATAAAGGACTGCCCCTTCGCATGTTGTCAAAGTTTCTATAAGATTTCATTCACCAAGTTAGTGGATGTTAAGCCTGGTTTAGCATTTAAAACTCCCAAAAAGTAATCCACATACCTGTACACTCTGTGCACATTTGCATTGTCAAGAGCCTGAGCTAACACTCTGTCAAACAAAGCTAAAAATAAACTCCGCAGTACAAGTGTCGCACATGAGCAGATACGTGTGCCGTCGCATTAAGGATAATCCTGCCCTTCATGCATCACAAACTTTGAACACAGATAAAACTCTAAAAGAGTCATGAAATTATCTACAGAAATACCTGCACTCCTCTCAAATGCCAATACGCCATTATCTGCAATGTTGGATTTTGCTACTTTGAAAAATTCCACATGCGGCAATGAATAAAATATATCCTCAACATCTACCGAGAATGCATAGCTTCCCCCTTTAATATCAAGCAAATACTAGGTAACATCAGTGGAATTTCTTATAACAAAAAAATCTTCTATAGGGATCATGTTTAGTTGCTTCAACAGATATATGCTCACTACATTCGACCACTCAGTGTGGCAGTCTGATCTTTGTCAAGGTAACTTGTCATTTCACATTGCCACATTTCATTGTTGCCTGAATAAGAACTCATGACCATTGTTGTTGCATGTAGCAGCTGAAGTGCCATACTGCTAAGCACATGAAGGAATGAGATAACATTAACCAATATATATATAAAAAAAACGACGTTTCGAAGCCGGGCTGGTTTTTTCTAGGGGGAGAAGGCCCGAGATGTGCGATGCTTAGTTGCTTGCCGTGCGGGAGAGGCTTGCCGTAAGTTCTCGCAAGCTCTAGAAAAGGAAAGAGACCCTTGCTGGTGGCTCCTCCTTTTTGAATCCTGGCACATTCAGCAGATAGAAAGAAACAAAATGCAATGGTAAACCAGTGTGCATAGAAACTGAGCTAGGCGAACACCAACGTACATAGAGCCACAATGAACATGTGACTGCGCTGATGTATCCTTAATGGGGCTATTTAAAACAGCCCTCATCATCATCAACTGTTCGGCCAGACAAGTCACTCAAGAAGAACTTGTTCTTGGGCAAGTTGGTGCATGAGTTTGCTAAATGTGTTAATTTTGGTGCAAAGCACAAAAAAATTAAAAAAAAAACAGACAGGGGAACAACAAAGTACCAACTGTTTATTGCCGGCAAAGGCCGGAAATCGAGAAAACTTCCACACATGCGCAGTGGGGTGAAAGTGTGATGTCGACATGTCAGTACGTAAGCTGCTTAGTAATCAGAGCTATCCCTTTTTTTAATTGACAACTTATGTGTTGAGGTCACACTTTCATGCCACTGTGCATGCGTGAAAGTTTTTTTGAGTTCCAGCCTTTGCCAGCAATAAACAGTTGGTAGCTTGCTGCTGCACTGTCTTTTTCCTCTGTCTTTTTTTGTGTTTTTAGCTTTGCACTGAAATTAACATGTTGAGCATCTCGACCTTTCAAATTTTCGAAATCATTCCTATTTACTCGTTACAAACTGTGCTTGCAAATGTGCTGGGCAGCCACTGTGCATTTACAAAATTGCTCAGTGAGGTATCGGGAAGCAGATGGGAGTGTCAGTCATTGTTGGTAGTGAGCTCTTTGAGTGCAGTGTTATGCTTCAAGAGCTTGTTGTTTCTTGCAGATAGACTGTCAGAAATATCCGACTGCTTGGCTAGTCCACGGTAGAATTGGCAAGTTGCAAACAGGGTTCCTGTAGAATCTTTATATTTGGTGCTCTTCAAGCTCACCAGTTGATTTTGAGGAGCTCCGTTTGATTAGCTTTCGAGATTGAGGGTCGGTGTCCACACCAATCATGAATGATCTATTATCAGTTTTTGCAGCCTGCAGTGTGAAGCAGTCGAGAAGGTTCCTTGAAGTGCAGCACGAAGGAGACTTGTCCACACGGAAATTTACATGGCCAAAATGTCAAAAAAGCTTTGATGCACCAAGAAACGATACCTAAAGCGACGCACCATTTTTTCTCTCACAGTGCCTGCCTGCGCATGTGTATTCGTTTTTTTCTACAACTGAAGTTCAATGCGAAAAAGCTACCGCCTAAGTTTCTCATTATGCCTTCTACTATGACACTAGCACATGCAGAACTTTGCCTATCATTTGTCTCATAGCAGGTGTCAATGTCCTAGTACTTTTTTGTCGCCAGATCTCACGAGCAGGAACAAAAATAGCGCCATCTTAAACAGCCGTTTTCTTTCTTGCCATTTGGTGCGTAATGAAACGATCTGCTGCAGTTGGCAGCTTGCAGGATCAGTTTATTTTCTGGGCCGAGAATGCAGTCGAGCAAGCTGGACGGTGGGACAAGTGTCTGGTTTTGTTTGCGTGAAGTGTGTTTATCATGTTTCAAGCACCGCCCTACTCCTCCTCCCCAACCAGGGACTGATATGAGCCTGGGCCCACGTGGGGCCGAGGAAGAAGAGCCGGCCTTCATCCGAGATATGATTCTCAAAAGCCCAGACCAGCTTGCCCTTCTGAAGCACAACAACCCACAGCTGGCCGATGCACTGCTGTCAGGCGACCTGGGTGAGATAGATCGCTGGAGCTAATTAGCGGGCCTGATAGCGATGAAAGATAGCAGAGTACACTTTAATTTTGTGCCTGCACATTTCAAAAAATGAATGCTCCCTGATGTACCAATTATAGTAGTTTATAGGAAGTTCCTGTTATGTCCAGCCTTTGTATCGTCATTGCTAATTAATAGTCTCATCCATCACACAGACTTTGTAGGTATGACACTTTGCCCCGTAGCAGCAAGTCGAATGTGTTGTCATCATTTTCAACTAGAAAAAAAAAGGCACAAAAAGCGGTGTACACTTCTTAATAACATTGCAGAATATGGTCAAAATTTGTGTGGCTATGTGGGCCTGTTGGAAAGGTTTGTTGTGGCACATGGAATTTGGTCTCGGCATGCCCTCATTTGTTCGAATGCTGCAACAAAGTAGTGCAGTTTTAGAACTCATTGTCAACAGTTAGTAGCACTTTAGTACTTTTTTGGGGGGTTCGATGTGTGCACCATCTCAGCTTGGCTGTAAGTCTGTATCCACTCAATAGCCTTTACTGTCGCTTTGAATGGACTGACAACTCAATTTTATGGGGCCTGTTTTTTTTTTTTTAGCGAATGGAAAGTTTACCGGTGAGAGTGTGTAATCACGAAAACGTCATGTGTAAACAGTGTGAAACATTTGTGATCAGAATGTTTCCATCTGCGGCAAGTATGAAGTTGTATGCATAATTGACGACCCATGCTGTAAACAGTGAGCGGGAGAGCAGTTCATATGTGAATGCGGTAGTTTGCTACGCATGTGTGTACTCTACGTGCATGCGCCGCGGCTCAACATGCTCTATAGGCTACGGTTAAGGCGCAGCCGCTTCTCACTACGCAACTATTTATACCTCTTAAGCAGTTCAGAATTGGGCGGGAATCAATAATAACATGCTTACTGTAATCTTGAGGACTACTTGTGGCGTACATGACAGCGTCAGCCTGCATGACTCGTAGCCAAAACGCTCCTCGACCCCTAACTCGACCTCAAGGAAACCTGAAGACTTCAACGTGGAAACAGTCCTCAAGGATTCTTTGAGGTAAAGTTTCGAGTGGAGGAGCGTTTATTTATACGGGCCTAAGCACAGCAAAGTGATAGACTCAATGATCCAGCTTCAAGCCTCTCTGGTGAGGCTATGTGGCATACCGGTTTTTCGTTGCCTTAAACACAAATGAAAAATATAAATTGCAAACAGGATGCTGGAATCCGTCACTGTGGTCACTGCGACGAGCGAGCCGTAGGGGCAAAACCCTGAGCGCGGAATTGAAATGAAAAGGAAGAAGAGAAGAGAAGACTGCTGCAGCGAGCGTGCGTGGCCGGCTTCGATGGTTGTCTGGGCTTTCGACCCCGTGTCCTGGGCGCTCGCGCCAGTCGAGCGTGACCTGGACGCCAGCAAGACATTATGGTGTGGGATATCGGCTTAAGCTCGAGCCATCGAGCTACACGAGAAGGTGTGTCTCACCGTGGATGCTACTGCGATAGACTCAACGCTCTGTCGCCCAGTGCTGTGGTCACCGCAACGACGGTGTGCATGAGTGTGGTTTTCTAGACTTCGCGGGAGCGAAGCATGCTGACCGTAATGACATAGACTTTCTCCTCGCACGGAAGGCACTTTATTGTAGACTTTCCATTTATCATTGTGAGATTCCATCATATGTGTTCCTGTCCTCGTCCGATATAAAGAACGTCTTTGTGTTATCGGGTTGTCTTGAGTGCATCCTATGACCTGGGCCTATTGAGTAAACCCCTTACTCACCACAATTGGCGAGCCTTGCCAGGATCGGCACTTACAATCTTCTAGCTGAAAATCCGTCACGCTCAAGATGCCTGTTAACTTGCAGAGACTACTATGTATTGGAGAGGAGGTCGGTTGGTCTTGCTCCGATTAGAGAGAATGTTGCGAGAAGACCTCGAAAAGGAACGCGAGAGGATTGATTTCGAACTGCAGTACATATGCAAAGATGATAATGACTATGAGCGTGTAAGACGGGAAGCAGAGAAGCTACTGTCAGAAATACGCACGGCTATCTCAGACATACGAAAGATTGCAAGACTCAAAGCAGCCCGTAATGAGGCTAATGAGGTGAATAGGGTAAAATCTCACCAATACGAGACATATATCGCTGGTTCGCTGACACGCGAAAACGTGAATGACAAAGAACTTGACGTTTTTGCTCCAGATACATAGTCTGCAACTACAGGTGCGAAGCGGGCATGTGGCAACAACACAGTTCGCAGTGATAGAGAGAAAGTTAGTCTTTGCCTTCCTCTTTTAGGACCTGTTAGTCAAACTAACTCTGTTGCAAACAGATCTCAGTCTGTGACTTCAGAACCGTCAAGTGGTTGCGGTAGCAGGAGTGATGTGAAGGAAAGCGCAGCCAGTAACCATGGTACTGTTGACGTGCAGGAAGCTTGTGTACTTCGCGAAAGCACGCCAGCAGAGTGTATGCTAGGCCCGAATCAGACAACTACTACCTTGCCGGCTGAAATGATTGTTCAGAAGCTCAAGTTAAATTAAGTTCCTGACGACATTCCTGAAATAGAGCCGCAAGGGCAAAGGTCGGGCAAGCCAGACCTGAACCCCCAAAGCCCTAGAGCAGTTAGGGACGCCATGAGCTCGATATATGGCTATTGGTACCACTTCAGAACAGATGGGCATCCATCCAGAAGAAGCTTGCCGTGCTGTGGGTACCACCCAGCTGGATACTCAGGTACAGATTTTATGGCTGAGTACTGGTGGTTGTATCTTAGCAGCATCTACAGGGCTCCACGTTACCAAGAAGCTAGCCGAAAAGAAGAACGCTGGTTCTGCGCGAGCACTTGGAAAAAAATCGACCTATAAAGCTGGTGCACTAATACGGAACTGACCTGTGCTCCCATTGTATGTATACTTATGTGATGCCCACTTGCGCCTTTTAAGTATCGTGACATGTCATTTAACAACAAAATAAGTTGAATCGCTCTCCACTTTTGAGATAGGCTCACGTCAAATCTGCGCAAGACATGTTCCTTGGTGAAACGTAGAGAACATATTCAATGTGACATCAGCACGAATGCTGTAAATAGTGCGCTTCTATACTGGTAAATCTTTGAGTGTATATTGAAGTGCTCCCTAAGTGCCAGTGAAACACTTGGACATTCCAGCCTACAGCATTGGTGCAACTACGTCTCGAACTAGTGCGTCTGAACTTGGACCCAGCAACAAATTCTGAACCGTATGAATGTCAGCTATCAAAGTGTCTACCTGACACCACCTCTACATCCTTCAGCATTGTCAAGTTACACATTGTTATGGACTAGTTCAACAGTAGCAGCCAAAGTGCGTGCAACTTTCTGAAACAGGGGGGAAGAATGTGGTGACTGCGACGAGCGAGCCGTGGGGGCAAAACCTTGAGCGCGGAATTGAAATGAAAAGGAAGAAGAGAAGAGGAGACTGCTGCATTGTGCGTGCGTGGCTGGCTTCAATGGTTGTCGGGGCTTACGACCTCATGTCCTGGGCGCTCGCCCCAGTCGAGCGTGACCTGGACGCCAGCAAGACATCATGGTGCGGTACATCGACTTGAGCTCGAGCCAGCGAGCTACACGAGAAGGTGTGTCTCACCGTGGACGCTACTGCGAAGGACTCAACGCCACGTCGCCCGGTGCTGTGGTCACCGCAACGACGGCGTGCGTGAGTGTGGTTTTCTAGACTTGGTGTTGCGGGAGCGAAGCATGCTGACCGTAACGACATAGACTTTCTCCTCGCACGAAAGGCACTTTATTGTAGACTTTCCATTTATCATTGTGAGATTCCATCATATGTGTTCCTGTCCTCGTCGGATATAAAGAATGTCTTCGTGTTATTGGGTTGTCTTGAGTGCGTCCGATGACCTGGGCCCATTGAGTAAACCCCTTACTCACCACAGTCGCTGTATCATAGTCTTTTTATTTTTGCCAGGATCTAAATAGCATGGTCTAGCCAGTTATCGGTCCCTTGAATGTGGTCATTATTTCCAACAAATGTTGTGGCCAACCTTTTTTTCTGCCATTTTCAGTGGTATATTTCAATATTTATATACGCAGAGGCTGTGGCAGCAAGGCTTTAAATTGAGTAACCATGAACTGATGATCATAAAATGCATCTGACATTACGGTATGTGATGTGTGCTTCAAATCCAGATAATGTAAACCAGCATGCACTTGCCAAGCATGCTTGGCAAGTGCATGCCGAAAACCAAGTGGCAACTGCTGTTGACAGGGCATGCCATCAATGCTCACACAAGTGCTTTGTTTTGTTGGTAGAAAATTACCTCACGGCAAATATAAAGAAGTCAATTTCGTTGTTAGGGCGAAGCAGTGAATGAAACAAAATGCAATGTTATTTGGAGAAAGGCTAGCAGCTTGCTCCTTGGCAAACACGGACATTGCAATGAGCTAAGCGACCTTCATGCTATCTATGGCTTCAACACAAATGTCATGAGAGCAGTAAATATGGAGTTAGACGGATACCAAATCGAACAAGCATATTCCAATTGGGGTCTGAAGACTCGCATGAAAAATTACGGCACAGAAATACAAGCATGCAACTAGCGTTAATAATTACATGTTCAACATGCATAGGTCAAAAGAGGTTATGGGTGATATGCACACCAATGTAATGATAAGTAGTAATGGCATGGAAAGGACCCCGGACACCAAGTTTGGAAACTCGAGATGCTTGTGTCGTTTAATAGCCCTGCATGAGAAGCCCCTGTGGACTGTTAGTTAGAAAACAGTGAATCCAGTCTAGGGTCTTAAGATCTATACTGAGTTTACCCATATTAAGGAGAGTATGCAAAACAGTGTCGAAGGCATTAGCATAATCTTAAAATATGCAGTCGGTTATGAAATTGTCCAAAATACGAATGTTAGCAAAAGAGAGTGATTGCGTTTCACAAGAAAAGTGCTTCTTGAAACCATTGCGGCGACAAAATCTGCACAAAATCTCGCGCAGCCTCCGCC